AACATTAAATAAATAAAAATAAAAATAAATAATAATAATAATAATAATAATAATAATAATAATAATAATAATAATAATAATAATAATAAAGAGTGGGCGGCTGTGTTTGTGACAAAGAAAAAAAAGAAATAAATCTGTTTGTGACGCTGCTCTCTGCCGGTCTCAGGGGCCCTCGGGCTTCTCCTGCCAGCGCTGCCACGCCTCCTGCCTGCAGTGCCGGGGGCCCGGCCCCCTCAGCTGCACGGCCTGCCCCGCCCGCGCCATCCTGGAGGCCGGCCGCCGCTGCCTGCTCTGCTGCCCCCCCGAGGAGGAGGAGGAGGGGGAGGAGGAGGGGGAGGAGGGGGAGGAAGAGGAGGCTGGACCCCCCCAGCAGGACTGCTGCAACTGCACCGAGACCCGAGGTCAGGGGGGGGGGGGTATGTGGGGTCTGCAGGGAGGGTTAAACTGCTCCTTATCTGTCTAGAAAATGTCTAGAAAATGTCCAAATGCTGTTAGTTTCCCACAAATACAGGAGCAAGTGAATGTATCCTGTGCTCCTCATGTTTACCCCAAATGGCTCAAAACTGAATCTAATGCAATAAGTTTGTACTTTAAGAGGCCCTGAAAGATGCCATTGATCCAAATCAGAAATACTTTAATAATCCCAGACGAAATTATTTAGATTATTTTGCTCCCAAGTAAGTAAATAGCCAAACCAGAAGGGAAAGATGCGAATAATCAGAATCAGAATCATAAATAGTTTAATAATCCCAGATGAAATTATTTGAATTATTATATAGGAGCAAGTGAATATCTCCTGAGCTACCGTGTCTTTATATTTACCCCAAATGGCTCAAAACTAAACCGAATGGTACAAGTTTGTACTTTAAGAGGCCCTGAAAGATGCCATTAATCAGAATTGAGAAATACTTTAATAATCACAGAGGGAAATCATTTGAATTATTATATAGGAGCAAGTCAATGTCTCCAGAGCTACCGTCTCCTTATGTTTACCCAAAATGGCTGGAAACAAAACCCAATTGTACAAGTTTGTACTTTAAAAGGACTTGAAAGATGCGATTAATCAGAATCCGAATCAGAAATAGTTTAATAATCCCAGAGGGAAATTATTTAAATTATCATGCTCCCAAGTAAGTAAATAGACAAACCAGAAGGGAAGGGAGCCCCAGAGACCAGTCTTTGGAGCCCTGAGGGTTAAATTTGGTGTTTTCCTTTCTGAGAGCATTCGTCTTATCAGCCACAGTTTGAAAAGATGGTCGTGCTAAAAAGTTGCACATTGCTCCCAGTTTCCACATTATTTAGTTTCCGTTACAAATAAAGGGTCATTGTGAGGTGGGTTAATCGTCCTGGACACAATAAGCTGTGACGTTACTGCTTAGGGGGTCGTAACGCAGTGCAAAGACTGTTTTTCTTTTGGTTTTGGGGAAGAAAAAAAACTGTTTTGGTTAAAAACTTGGGTGTGTCAGAGCTCCTAAACAGGAGATGCTCTCAATCTACCACCTTCAAAGAGGTAATCTGATTTTATTAAGGCCTAAAGAGTAAAACCCAATCAGAAGGCCGCACAATCCCCTTCAACTTCTCCCGGATTTGCTCAGAAGTTTGGCAGAGGGCGGAAAACCGAGCAACAACTGAGATTTATGCTTATTGATTTACCTTTGAATCATAATTACAACATGTCTGCGGCCCAGCAGCTGACCGATGGAAAGTGTCAGAAATGAGGAAATGCCACTCGTGATTTAATTCCAATATAATGATAAGGCCCCCCCCCCCCCGGCTCGACTCCGACTGGAGCCTTCTCAGAAGCTCAAACGCTGCCGATTTCCCTCCAGACTCGCAGTTTTGACTCCGGTTTTCCTCAGAAAAGCTTCATTTTAAGGTCTGTGATTGAACATTTCCTGCCAAAAAAGAACACAGAGCGTTGTGATGAACTATTTATACGCGGGGGGCTTTTTTTCCTTTGAGATCCTCTCTCACAGAACCCAGCGTTACGCAACGCGTTTGTTAATCTCTCCAACTGATGAGTCAGCAGTCTCATGTTGATTCAAGCCGTAAAAGAGTTTGTAATGAATATGTTTTTTTTTATTCCTCACAAAAGAAAAAGAGCATCTGAAAGAACTCCTGTTTTCAGACTTTTGAAAGCTCCCTCCGGAGTTTTGAGACATTGTTCAGTTGTTCAGAAGAGCTTTTGATTCTCAGAAAGCTGAACTCCGGCCTTATCTCCAAAATATACACCTTAATATCCCATCTCAAAGAGACGTCTCTTGATAAAATCAAGAAAGACTGGGAGCAAGAACTTGGTAGGGTTATTGATATCGGTGTCTGGGACTCAGCATTAACTCGTGTAAATAATAGAACATCCTGCCCCAGGCTTAATCTGATACAATTTAAGGTTGTCCATCGTATTTATTTTACCAATTTTAAACTTTCCAAAATGTATCCCAACGTCGCAGACGCATGTCACATGTCACCAGCAAACAAGACTCACATGTTTTGGTCCTGTCCCTTTTCAAACATCTTGCAGAAGCACTAAATGTGAAATTGACACCTTGTCCTGAATTGGCTATTTTTGGATTAACAGACCATCAAACAATTTGGAAAAAGTTCAAGGATAGTATTGCTTTTGCCAGAGTGCCCTTTGAGTTTGGTGGTTGTGCGTCGGCCTCGTTATCTCTTTTTTTTTTTTCAATGATTTGTTCATAATGTAATGTAATTTTTTCATGTGAGGACCCCAGGAAGACTAGTAGCCATTTATTTGGCAGCTAATGGGGATCCTAATAAAACTAAACTAAACTAAACATTGTTAAATCATATCATGTTTCAAAATAAATGAAATGAAATGAAATGTACTCACAGTGGTACAGTGGGGGAAATAAGTATTTGACCCCTTGCTGATTTTGCAGGTTTGCCCACTTACAAAGAATGCAACGATCCATAACTTTAATCATATGTACATTCTAACAGTGAAAGACAGAATCCCAAAGAAAATTCCAGAAAATCACATCATATGAATTTATAAAAA